CCATCTCTATCATAGAAAAGAGTCAGAGACAGATTAACAATGGAATCATAGCGTCAGAGAAAACTACCTGTGTGTCTGCGATTTCCCAGACAGCATATAGGGACATCTCCCCTGCGGGTAACAGGCTCAACAAATCAGTTTGGTAGCTGTCTTGTGTGTCTCATATATATAGATATACCAGTATTTATTGATTTTTCTCCCATTATTGGACTCTGTCGTCTGCCCCTCTGGCCCCTATCCTCCACTTCTATTAGCTAGACGACCCAACCGGGGTCACATATATATGTTATGTTGGGAAGGTGTAGACGAATGATGTTGGGTACTGTTCCGTTTTTTTCCTGAATATTGGTGTTGGGTGTGTGTGATGACGTCACTGGTTTTGTGGAGAGACGCGGCAGAGATGGCGCGGATAACCGGGTGTGAAGAAAAACAGCATTACAACAACAACAACAATGTTGTTGTTGTTGTTGTTGTTGTTGTTGTTGTCTTCACATTAAAAACCATCCCGGTCTCTCTATCCAGTACCTCCTTCTGTCTCAATCTCTCCGTACTAATCCAGCACTTGACTCGGTCAATTTCCGTGGTCACAGCCTAACGTACCTAGACAAGGTATACCAAAATAAAATGAACCTCAAGGGTTAGCAGAGCGATAAAATTTAAGAAAACACAATAAATAATCAGAAACAAATAAATAACTAAATAGTGGAACGTGCGCACCACCAGCCTGGGGGGTAGCCTTCCGGAAGGACCCCAAGGGTCAGCAGTACGTGCCAGTAAAAAAAACAAAACAAAATAAAACGAAATAAACCAAAGACAGACGAGGACATAAACAAACTCGCACAGAGACAGGGATATCCGTAGAGACAGTCTGAACGCGACAGCAAGCGGGGGAGAGGGCAACAGAAAAACTAGTCGCTGAAATTCAACCGCAACATGTCACGTCACGCGGTCGGTCTCTTCTCGCTTGCTTTCTTCCCGCGCCGTTTCCTCCCGCCCCCCTCCCGCCCCGTTGATTGGTGCCGTATCTAGACTATTTTTGGGCCCGCTGTCTCCTCGTTTGATGGCTCGTTGTCGGCTGGCCTCCTCCTTGCCCTTGTGCCAAGAGGCCATGAACCTCTCAGCTCCCTGTAGCACCCCCGCGTG